ATGCAAAACTATTTAAAATTAAAACGGAACAGTAGAGAAAATCCGATCAGAATGACAAAATAAACTAAGCATCCACTGGAAGGAATCCCAATATCTGCAGACGGATCCGTTTCGGCCTTCCAGGCCTCATCAGTGCAGCTAAGGTATACACCCAAACGAAACGTTCGACCAGCTTAGGTAAGGCCCAAACTAGTCCCACGACCACTAATGATTACAGAACCAAACCAAGGCAATATATATACACAGCCCAGGTGTGAATGCAAGATTCCTTCCAGTGGATGCTTAGTTTATTTTGTCATTCTGATCGGATTTTCTCTACTGTTCCGTTTTAATTTTATATATGGGTCATTCCATGCCAATTCAACGTGGCCGCGGAAGTCACCGTCTCAGATTTTGTTTAAATTTTCAGGGTTTGTTGTAACTTCAGTAACTAAGAAAAATCCAAAATTTCAGCTCAATCGGACCAATACTTTCCGAGATACCGGTGTCCGAAAAAGTGGGCGTGGCACCCATTAGAGCCACCGACGACGTTGTTATTTGGATTCTTTGATTTTTGAAGTGTCATAACTTTTCTAGGTCACCTACAAAGCTAAAAATCACAGTACTTGCTCAACTTTTTGAGTGGATTCAGATTCTGCATTCAAATAATTACTTAGAAAAACACTTTTCGAATTATGCTCTATCAAACATGGCTCCAGAATGAACGCGACAGAGCTTTCAGCTATTTTTGCTCACCCGTATCTCAAAAACTAGAAGGGCTAACCCAAAACTGTTTTTGATTTCTTATACCCTACTAAATTTTGTGTAAATAAAGTAAATATGGACATAACCCAAGCATGAATACTACCAAATATATGCCTCCCATTATGGTCCAGCCAGAAATTTGACAAATACGAGTAGTCGCGTTTGGTGGTAGAACCCAATGTGGATTTTGAAATATCAACTTGAAAATTCAGCATAATCAAGTTTAATATATGTTACAATCATAATATTAAAAACATTATTGTATATTTACTGTCTTCTTGAAATATTTTACAGGTCAAAATTACACATAATCGCTGCCGACGTTGTCGTTATTTGGATTCCTTGATTTTTAAAATGGCACAACTTTTTTTCACAGTACACAGTACTTGCTCTACTTTTTGAGTAGATTCAGATTCTGCATTCAGATAATTTCTTAGAAAAATACTCTTTGAATTATGCTCTACCAAACATGGCTTCAGAATGAACGTGACCAGGCTTTCAGCTCTTTTCCCTCACCCATATCTCAAAAACTAGAAGGGCTAATCCAAAACTGTTTTTGATTTCTAATACCCTACTAACTTCTGTGTTAGTAAGGTAAATATGGACATAAACCAAGCATGAATACTACCAAATAGATGCATCCCATTATGGTCCAGCCAGAAATTTTACAAAAGGGTAGTCGCGTTTAGTAGTACAACCTAATGTGGTTTTATAACATCAACTTGAAAATTCAGTGTGTTACAATCATAATATTAAAAACATTATTGTATAACTGTCTTCTTAAAATATTTTACAGGTCAAAATTACACATAATCGCTGCCAACGTCATTATTTTGATTCTTTGATTTTTGAAATGTTATAACTTTTTTTCTAAGTCACCTACAAAGCTAAAAATCACAGTACTTGCTCAACTTTTTGAGTAGATTCAGAATACTTTTTGAATTATGCTCTATCAAACATGGCTTCAAAATGAACGCGACAGAGCTTTCAGCAATTGTTTTCGTCAATCTCAAAGACTAGAAGGCCTAATCCAAAACTGTTTTGATTTCTAATACCCTACTAACTTCTGTATAGGTACATAAATTAAATATGAATATAAACCAAGCATGAATACTATCCAAAAGATGCCTCCCATTATAGTCCAGCCAGAAATTTGATAAATATAGGTAGTCGTGTTTGGTGGTAGAACCCAATATTGATTTTGCAATATCAACTTGAAAATTTAGCATGATCAAGTTTAATAATGTTACAATCAGAATATTAAAAATATTATTTTATATTTACCATCTTCTTGAACAATTTTACTGGCCAGAATTACGCATAATCACAGATTTTTGACTGTCAAATGTCTATTCTTGAAAATTAATATATATTATATTTTTATCATATGCTGATGCTGCTAACAGTTTGTGCCATATTTTCATAAAAACGTGATACCAAAATTTTTTTAAATTACAATAAACTTAAATTAACCAGATTATCTTAATTTGCATTACCGGTAATTAGCTTTTTTTTAATGAAAAATATAAACAGAAAATTTATGTTAATAAATTCAAACTCCATAGTTTGATTGATGTATTCAAATGTTTAACTATATTTAGTTATTTTAGTTAAAATAATTTTATATAAAAGTTGTTTTAGCATTGTGTGCACTGTGTGAAGATGCTAACAGAGAAGGATGACAACAGTAACCACAGCTACACTGATCCACGTACTGACAAAGCTACTCTAAATTCTTTTTTAACATCTTTAAACTTTAAACCCTTTAAGAGCTCATCAAAGTCAAATATTGTATACTGTAAAGCAAAATCAAAGGAAATATTACAGAAACATTTTGGCATCACTTTTATGAAAATGAGGCACAAAAAGTAGCATCAGCATATGATAAATATATAATATATATTAATTTTCAAGAATAGACATTTGACAGTCAAGAATGTGTGATTATTTGAATGCAGAATCTGAATCTACTCAAAAAGTTAAGCAAGTACTGTGATTTTTAGATGACTTAGAAAGAAAGTTGACATTTCAAAAATCAAAGAAATTAAAATAACAACAACGTCGGCAGCAATTATGTGTAATTTTGACCTGTAAAATATTTCAAGAAGACAGTAAATATACAATAATGTTTTTAATATTATGATTGTAACATATATTAAACTTGATTATGCTGAATTTTCAAGTTGATATTTCAAAATCCACA